TCTCAAGTACCCAGGTCCAATACCATGTGCAGGCCACACCCAGCTCAGCTCTGTGAAGGGAAAAATGTCGCAAAAGGTCACATGATGGCATTGTGACGCCGCAGGTTTGACACCCAGGCTCTAAGTGCTGCCTGGTTTTCAAAGGACCTCTTTCTGGAGAAAGCCAGGTGATTAACAGGCAGATGTCACCTCTGCAGTTGTTAAGCAAGTGACTATGGGTCATTAAGTGCTATGTTATAAGATTGGGACTCTCGGTTTCCTGTCAGCTTCCCTATTGATTTTGCTTGTCAGAACCTGACTGTGAAAGTCTCAAATGGCAATCATGACAGCTTCAAGACCCTGTGACTATTGTAAATGCAAGCTGATTGCCAAATGCCTAATTCATGGTCACATGACTGTGGGGCAGGGAAGGGTTCCTGCCAGTTCTAACCTCTTCTATAGAAGAGGTTCCACAAATCCACAGTGCCGTTTAGAACCGGTTCCAGCTCCCTCCCCCGTCCGCCCGTCCGCACATCATCAAGATGAAAAGCGAGAGGAGGAATTCTGGGAGTTGAAGTCCACAAGTCTTAAAGCTGTCAAGTTACAAGACCCTTGCACCTATAAAACTTTAGAAAAAAAAAACCCAGGGGTGTTCAAACTTGACAGCTTTAAGACTTGTGGACTTCAACTCCCAGAATTCCTCCTCTCGCTTTTCATCTTGATGATGTGCGGACGGACGGACGGGGGGAGGGATCTGGAACCGGTTCTAAACAGCACTGTAGATTTGTGGAACCTCTTCTATAGAAGAGCTTAGAACTGGCAGGAACCCACCCCTGATCCAAATTAGGCTGCATTATTTCTCTTGTGTCATATATGTGGGTATATGCATACTTTTGTATGTATTTATTTACTGTTTATGTAGTGTACATTGGAGGGGGTGACCTTTTGAGAGCTATATGCAACAAAATTTCGTTTTAATGTATGCTGATAAAGATAATCGAAGTCTAAATGACCCAAAGGGGATTTTAATTACAACTTTCCACTGTTGTTGCCTCTCTGATAGGAGGCCAGCATTCTTTAAAAAAAAAAGTTTGATCTTATATTTTTTAAGAATTAAAAATGTCACACCTCTAGAATTTTTAGAAAATATGTCGGAAATTAATACAAGGAGTCATCCATTGTGAATAAAAAAAAACCTTATTCTTTTTATTCAACATGTATTTAATTGAAGGGGGGATTTCGGGAGCATGACTGGGGCAGACTAATTCCATCATTCTCTAGGATTCCCCGTGATTCTCTTCCTTCACTCTGGACCTAGTGATGAGCCCCGGGGATGTTAAATGAATTGTGGGACAGTAAAGTTGAGAGATTGCAAAGTGCAATAAAGGAAACACTGATTAACCCCTTCTACTCTAAATCCCCCCCCCCCAATGAAATCATTTGCCAAGTTTGGCTTATAGATCTCTTCTCAGTGCAGGACTCATGCATTGCTTAAGAGCGTGACCCGACAAATGCGTGCCCGTCAACAGCGCGCTGACAAAACCGCGGTGATAAAACCGTGACGTCGACAGCGCGCCCACAAAGGCGTGCCGACAGAAGCGCGATTAGGGTTAAGGTAAGGGTAAGGTTTAGGGTTAGGGTTAGGTTTAGGGTTATCTTTAGTGTTAGGTTTAGAGCGCGCTTCTGTCGGCGTGCTTCTGTGGTCATTCGTTGGCGCAATTTCGAACTCACGCTTTTCTCCCCGCGGTTTTGTCGGCGCGCTTTTGTCGAGCGTGCATTTGTCGGTCAACCGCTTAAGAGTGCTGAGGTAGCGATAGGAAGGTCAAAATTTGTGGAGTGCTTGTGGAAAAACTACTATCCCATCTAAGGATGTTTCTATGTGCAGGTAGGGGATTCTAGGAGCACAGCCAAGAGCTCGAAGAAGAAAAAATAGTTTCTTCAATCGCTAATTTAACGTCTCAAATAAAAATCCAGGATAAGAAACTGATGAGTGGAGTTTTTTTAGTTCTTATGGGAACTGTTCGGTTTATTGCCAACACAGCAAAGAAAACTCAAAAGATGAGCTGCTTTATGTTGGTTCAACAATGCTGTATGAGGCATTGCAATATCCAAACCATATTGGATGCTTGCATACTTTCTTTCTAGATCTACTTCAGGCTGCTTTTCATATCATCATCTTTTCTTTTTCCTTCCTTCCCTCCCTCAGTTAGCAATAGCAATAGCAGTTAGACTTATATACCGCTTCATAGGGCTTTCAGCCCTCTCTAAGCGGTTTACAGAGTCAACATATCGCCCCCACAGNATGTTTTCGTCGCGCTGTGATGACGTCAAATGCGCGCTTTTGTCGTCCGCGATTTTGTCGTCCGCGGTTTTGTGGTAGAACCAATATTTAAGCACTGAATCTGAAAGAAGATACTGAGGAAAATTAGCCCTTACGTCTAGTGATGATCAACCCATGATTTTTTTTTTCCTGGCGCACCTCCTTAATAAGCAACTTTTCTAAGGTATATTTTCCAGATTATTATTATTTTTTAAATTAAGGCTGAAGGCATTAGATGCTATTTGTTTAGCAGTTCCCTGAGGCTCCTTGTCTCAACCAAGCACTATATAAAAATAATATTCAGTCTTTGGTAGCAGGTTTATAGATCAAAGTTGCGGCTTTAAAAAAACAACAACGCTCCGTCTATACAAAACAGGGATTCCGTATTGCCAGATAAAACCAGCGACAAAAAGTAGTGAAACTTGAAAGATCTGTTTGTTGATTTAAGATCAAATTCACATTTTAAAAATAATAACTGAACACTGCTTAAAATGTCAGATGGCTTAACGGCTCACAACCTCTTACAAATGTCATTGTTAAGAAACCTACATTATTGTGAGGGAAAGCCTGAGGTGATCTCCATCAAAGATTCTTGGCAAAGATTAAGGCCACCTATGGAATCAAGAGTTTTTGCCAGGTCTTTTACCCATTCAAACTCCCCTCCCACCAACTATAGCACTATTGCGTGATTGTTTTAAAATTTATTCTTTTTTTTGCTCCTTTTTTTTAACCCTCTCCAAATAAGGCAAATGTGAGTGGTTTGATTACTTGCTTAGCAGCAACACAACATTTCATCAGTTCCGAGCTTTAAGCCTTTGGTGATAACATTCACAAAATTCACCACTCCAGTTCCACAGGATATACTCCAACAAGGCAAGCTGTGCAATGGCCGATTTTCCCGCTTTTGAACTTGTTCGTTTTTAGGTTGTTTTCATGGTCTTGTCTTGCTTTTATGCTTTCTTGAACAGACGAAACCAATCCTTCTACTGAGAGGTAAACAACGCTGTCAGCGCCTGGGAGAAGGAAAAATGTATCATTGAAATTGTAATATTTTTAACGGTGACTAAATTGCTTACCGTATTTTTCAGACTATAAGACGCACCGGTATATAAGATGCACCAAAAAGAGGTAAGTAAGGAAAAAAAGTTTTTGTCCTCCCCAGGCCCCAGGAGCACTTTACAGGCTTCAGCAGGGCTGGGGGAAGGCAGAAATGCCCCAGTTTTTGCAAAAAAACGGGCAGAAATGGGCCATTTTCCGCAAACAATGGAGGTATTTTTGCCTCCCCCCCCCAAGCCCTGCTGAAGCCTGCATAGTGCTCCTGCGGGCTGGGGAATGCAAAAATGTCTCCATTTCTGCAAAAAAATGCCCCGTTATTTGCAAAAATGGGATGCGGAGGCCGGGCTTCGGGAGGCCAAAAATGGCTTCATTCAGTGTATAAGACACATCAACATTTCTACGCTCTTTTAGGGGGGGGGAAGGTGCATCTTATACTCCAGAAAATACGGTAACTCAAAGATTTTCTATAGTTGGATCTTTAATAAAATACAGTAATTGGTAATTGCACCAACTACTGACTTCACATGTAGGGGAAATATGATTTGATTTGATTTGATTTTGATTTTATTGACATTTGTAGGCCGCCCTTTTCCCTGAGGGGACTCAGGGCGGCTCACATAAAATCANGCTGAACTGCAGATAACAGTCAGCTGAAGTGGCCTGCAGTACTGCACCTTAACCACTGCGCCACCTCGGCTCTTCACATAGATATAGGACAGAAAAAATAAGGCAAGTCGACAATGTTGTGTGTCAAGATGCATTTACTTGAACATGTTATTTAATATTTCTCTAGTGGCTGTTGGCTAAGAACTGATTAATGGTTTCATGTAGTCCTCCATTTGTTTGAAGTTACAACAGTGATAAAAAGTGACAGGACTGGTTTTCACAGAACAGTTGTGGCATTCCCATGGTCAGGTGATCAAAATTCAGACTTTGGCAACTGCCTCATATTTATGATGGTTGCAGTGTCCTGGGGTCATATCATCACTTTTTAAAACTTTCTGACAAAGTCAATGGGGAAGCCAGATTCAATTAAAAACCATGTGAGCAACTTAACAACTGCAGTGATTAACTTAACAACTGTGGCAATGGGGCAAAACTCACTTAACAACTGTCTTGCTACCAATAGAAATTTTGGGCTCAGTTTTTGTCCTAAGTCAAGTAGTAACTGTATTAGCATGTAACGCAGAAAATCTAAATTGGAGAATTAGTTTCATGTCAGACTGCTAGTTATGGAATCTTGGAAGCTTAGAAATAAAATCTCTGCAGTGCTCCACAGTTCACCCTATGACTTTGTTTTATTCTTCATTAAAACTAGTTTATTAAAACTTAAGGGGAGATAGAAGCAATTCAGGTATAAGCCCTGAAAAATTAAAATCTTTTATTACATTACGAGCCCATAAAAGAATAATTTTCTCAAGTATCTGGATTTCATTTTACCCTTTCTCGAGCCATTTTACTTCTTTCTAAAAGATACAATAAGCCAAACTGATCTTTAGCTGAATACTATTGGAAAGCTGGGGTAAATACTAATACTAGTATACTAATACTATATGGTTATTTGCATGAGTTAAATTTATTAATTTGGCATATAAGCACTTCTTAAGAAACCACAGGCATTTTTCAGAAGGGTAAAAAGAGGGGAAACGGTATTGCTAATATTATATTGCTAATACTGCTTTGGTATAATCAGTACTGAGTAGGAATCACAAATGGATTTAATCCATATGGCTTAAAAGCAGGGGTGAAATTCAGCACGTTCTGACAGGTTCTGGAGAACTGGTAGCGGAAATTTTGAGTAGTTTGGAGAACCTGCAAATACCACTTCTGGCTGACCCCAGGAGTGGGATGGGCATGGAGATTTTGCAGTTTCCTTCCCCTGCCACGCCCACCAAGCCACACCCATAGAACCGGTAATTAAAAAAAAAATTGAATTTCACCACTGCTTAAAAGTATTTGTTAAAAGAAGAGTTATACTGAGAGGTTTTTAAAAATGCATTTATTTTTTTTAAAAGATAACAAATTTAAATGGATAGCATTTCAAGTGCACTTCCCTTGTGGTCGGTGGCAGTCTTATAATTTAAAAGGTAGCAGTTATAGAATGTAAGATATTTTGTGCTTTGCTGCCTCCTTTCTTCATGAATACCCACATCTTTACCACTTACATAAATGTTTGAAAATCAAATAAAAGTGAAAGCAAAGCTTCCCAGTTCAAACCGTTATTGCACTAAAAACCATTCATTATAGCACATTGCGGAAAAAAAAGTTGATGTCTTTTTCCTCACAATCATCTCCTCTACAGTCCTGGGAAAGAAATTAATTGCTAAAATACATCATGTATATTTGCATTTCATCATATATATATATAGCACTGCAACATCCAATAAGTTTCTCTGTGTCCTTTTCCATATAGGAATTAGGGTTTTTTTTTTCCAAAACAAAAATTAAGTCTTTCAACCATTCTTAGATCTTCTCATTTCTTTCCCTGATTCATATATTTTAAACCGTTGCATTTAAAATGAAAACAAAAACAATTTAACAATGCCTTCCTCTGCCTTGATTTGCTGTTTCAAATCAGCTGTGGTCTATTAGGGCAGACTATTTTTATACGTAAATTCTAACAGTTGTACCAATAAATTGTCTTAACACACACCATTCCTGATTATGCATACTGACTCTCTGTAATCAATAAAGGATCTCCTCTAGATTTTGAAGCTTTAGGTAAAGGTAAAGGTTCCCCTCGCACATATGTGCTCGTCATTCCCGACTCTAGGGGGCGGTGTTCATCTCTGTTTCAAAGCCGAAGAGCCAGTGCTGTCCGAAGACATCTCCGTGGTCATGGGACCAGCATAACTAACACGGAACGCTGTTACCTTCCCGCCAAAGGTGGTCCCTATTTTTCTACTTGCATTTTTTACGTGCTTTCGAACTGCTAGGTTGGCAGAAGCTAGGACAAATAACGGGAGCTCATTCCGTTACGTGATGCTCGGGATTTGAACTGCTGACCTTTCTGATCGACAAGCTCAGCGTCTTAGCCACTGTGCCACCGCGTCCCTAAGCTTTACTGTGAAACTTCATTGTGGTGTTTAAAAATCTGCAAGGCCGTAGACACTTATGAAGCTGTAATATTCCAGAAGCAGACAGACAGAACGACATAGGCAGTAAAGCTTGATCTTACAATATTAGATTATACATCACATTCATCAAAATAAGTTGACAACAGAAATGGGGTTTGTTGAATGTCCCCCACTCTTTCAGAATTAACTGAATGGAATCCCCAGAGGAAAAATGTTTCAGCATATGATCATCTCTGAAAAGATTTTTAAAAAAAGGTTAGCTACCAGTA